TAGTAAGATCTCTGACCCAGTGGGGGAGAAACCAATTTGAGTGTAAGGCAGGGGACACCTGACCACTTGGACATAGGTTTACTGTTGCAGGTCATGTTCTAGCTCGTTCTAGCCACCTCCCAGGAAAGGCCACCTTGGAGGTAACTCTGATCTGATGTCAGCAGAAGGGCAGCCTTCTTGCTCTACCTGGAAAGCTAATTCCTTTTTCATGACCACACATGTGTAAGTGCAATGCCATCTGAGGGACATGAGGATTTATGTGGTTGGGCTATGACCTGGAGAGAGGCTCTCACAGGCCAGTGGGGCATGTGAGGTACTTCAAGGAAGTCAGAGGCTGGTGATGTCATATGATGGAGTGGAGGGAACAGAATGGGGCCAGATGTGGAGGGAACAGAATGGGGCCAGAGGTGGCCCCCTCTGGAGCCTCTGCTCTTTGAACTTCCACTTGTGGACTGGCAGATTTCAAGAAGTTTCCACAGAAGATCTGCAAAGATGATCATTATGTAGGTTACAAAATCATGAAGACTTGTGCTAAAAATTGGTGTCCCATGCATAGCAACTGAGTCCAGATCTTGCTCAAACAAAGATGCAAGATTCAGATGAAAATGTTTAACCACAACGCATGTGTTCAGGCTAGACCTGGGCTGATGTCACCTTCTCCTATCTCATGTCACTCCCACACCCCTGAATGTCCACTTCAGTCACATCAAATGGCCCACGGTTCCCAACATAAACCAGGCCCTTCCATATCTTCAGGGCATAGGACACGCTGCCATCTCTATTTGGAACATCTGTTCAGCCCTGTCCTGCTCTGCCTGGAAGATGTCCCTTCCTTCTTCAAAATGCAATTCAGATCTCTTCCTTGAGAAGCTGACTTGACCTCCCCACCCCACCAGGTAAGGTACATTGTCCCCACCAGCCAGGCACAATGTCCTTGCTTCCACGGTTGCTTCTATGTGGTCACTTCTCAGATTGTCTTCCTCTAGACTAGGAGCTCACTGAGGTCAGGCACCATATTATCTTCATCTCTGTTCTCAGCACTTAGCAAAGTGCCAGACACATAGTAGCCCCTCAGTAAATGCATGTGGAGAAAGAAAGAAAGAAAG